ACAGAAGACCTCACACTTGGAAATTTATAATAGAAGAGGTTTATTTGGTTTATGATTGTAGAGGCTGAGAAGCCTAAGATTAGGCAGCCAAATCTGGTCAGCTTGTAGTGAGGGCCTCATGCTGTACCTTCATGGCCAAAGGGGAAGTTGGCATGTGCAAAAGAGATAGGGGTCAAAGGAAGCTGACTTCCTTTAGAAACAACCTGTTCTCCTGAGAACTAATCTAGTCCCAGGAAGAATAACACAATGTCTCAAGAAAGCCATTAATTCATTTTAATAACCTAGTTACCTCTTAAAGGTCCCACCTCCCAACACTAATACATTAGTAATTAAAATTTAACATGAGTTTTAATGAAGACAAATCACATCCAACCCATAGTATTCTGATCCCAGTCCTGAAAATCTCACATCCTCTCATATCCAAAATGCAATAACCCCATCCCATTATACTCAAAAGTCTTTTTTTTTTTTTTTTTTTTTTGACAGAGTCAAAAGCTGTTGCCCTGGGTAAAGTGCCGTGGTGTCACACAGATCACAGCAACCTCAAACTCCTGGGCCCAAGCAATTCTCTTGCCTCAGCTTCCCAAGTAGCTGGGACTACAGGCACCCACCACAACACCCGCCCAGCTGTTTTTTGGCCCACCTAGGCTGGTTTGAACCTGCCTGCTCTGATGTATGTGGCTGGTGCCCTAGCTGCCTGAGCTACAGGCACCAAGCCAGACCCAAAAGTCTTAACTCATTCTATCATCAATTCAAAAGTTCAAAGTCCAAGGTCTCCTCTAAGACTCAAAGCAAACTCCTTCCAGTTGTGAACCTATAAAATCATAACAAGTTATCTACTTCCAAGGCACAAAGGTGGAACAGGCATAGGGTAAACATTCCCATTCCAAAAGGGAAAGGTAGGCATAAAGAAAGAAGTAACTGGCCCAAATAAGTCCAAAACCCAGGAGGGAGAATGTTAAATCATAAAGCTCCAAAATAATCTTTCACTCCATATGCAGCTTCCTGGACAAAGTGTGGTGGTGATGATGGAGGGGCAATAGGCTCCCAAGGCCTCATGAAGCTTTCTATTCATTGTTTTACAGGGTGCAGCCCCTTTGGCTGCACTCACTGGTAAGAGTTGCATACCGGTTGCTGCAGCATTTCCAAGTGGGTATTACATGATTGCTGGTAGCTCAACAGTTCTAGGGTCCCAGCAGCATCCCCCATCCTCGTGGCTACACCAGGCATTGACCTGATAAGAACTCTGTGTAGCCAGAGAGGATACCAGAATAAAATAAAGTATAAAAAAAAGAACAAAAATTTTCTCATGGGAACCCAAGGCCACTCTTGTGCAATATCCTCCTGTGGTGACCTAGCTCTAGGAATTTGTAGAAACTTGATGGGACCTTGAAACTAATGCTTGCTTCCACTTCTGCAGAAGTTCACACTTCTATAAAAGCTAAGGTGACCAGACGTCTGCTTTTGGCAGGACAGTCCCAATTTTTAACAATTTGTCCTGCATCCTATAGTGTTTTTAAAAAGTCCCAATTTTTGGAAAGAATGCATGACAAGCTAGGGAACACAGGAGAACAGGAAGGGAATATACAGTTTTCAGCTGCCATGTGGCTATTTCGCCAGGATATGCATTTTATATTATTTTTGTTAATTTTATAATGTTAAACTTTAATAATAACAAATAACTGTTGAGAACTGATTATCAAGAACTGCTTATCAAAGTTTGCATTGTTGTCATGCCCCACCCCCATCCCAATGGTGTCCCGCTTTACCAATGTTAAAATCTGGTCACCTTAGTAAAAGCCCACACCTGCCTTCTCCAGCTTAATTCAAACTGACCAATGAGAAGGATACCCATGGACAAGGAGCCCTTGGTTGGAGATAAAAGAAAAAGGACAGAGCCAGTCCGAGAGCTTGGCCATTTTCAGACTTTAATCTAATGTGGCTCCACTGGCTGAAATAAAGCCCTTTCTCTTTTAAACATGGATGTTGTATCTTTCTCTCCATTGGGCCTCTTTTTCCTGCAACATTTCCTCCACCCCTATGGCAGTTTATAGCGGGCCTGCAGACTTTCTGTGACATCTTTTGAAATATAGGTAGAAGAATCCATGCCTCCATATCTCTTGCATTCTGCATGCCTGCAGAATTAGCAACACCAAGCTATAGCTTGTGCTTTTCAGAGTTAGGTACAAGCCACATCTGGGCCCACTTGACCCATGATGTTACCATACAACTAGGTTCATCTTCCCACTGCCCAAGAGGATGTCAGTACCCAGAGACAGCAGGGTTTACAGCAGAGAGTTTATTCTGCATAGTGCTGAGTGGGGTGATGGAAGAAATTTCTCAAATCCTCTTCCCTGAGAATTGAGGAGACCTGACCTTCACCCCCATCTCCCATTCTTGCTGTTTTGTAAAGTTAGCTCCCACCCAAAGGATGACTACCTTGAGTATTTTAGGTGTATTGCTTTAGGAGATTGACTTTTAAATTGGAGTGTTGTTTTGGATCGTGGGTTATGCTGGTTGTTGTTTACTATGGGTCATGGGCTCTGCCAATTATTGTTTAAGATAAGGGTTAACATGGTCTTCCCTTTGAACTTAAATGCATGGAATAGTAATTTTGGAAATGGAAGAACAAAACAGTTTAGGAGAGGCCACTCCCACTGTTCTCCAGAATCCCCGCCTTCTGACAAAGAAAGTTTCATGGACCTATCCCTGTCTCTCCCTATTGGCTGACTGTGACAGCCATGCCCTCTTCATCTGGTAACATTTGCAATTGCAAAATAAAGATAACCCTTACTCTAATCCTCAATATTTTGTGCTTCAGGTCCATAGAAAACATCATCAACGTAGCCTTTACTGTGAACATTTTTATCAACATTCTGGTTACAACCACTGAATTCATCTCTAAGAAATTCCAAACTTTCCTCAGTCATCTGGTCTTCTGAGCCCTCACCAGAATCACTCCTAATGTACCACTTACAACATTCTAGGCTTTTACTAGCCTGCTTGGCCATATTTTTACAACCTCTGTCCATTATCCTGTTACAGAGCCATTTGCACATTTTGAAGCATTTTTATAGCAATAGCACCACTTCTAACATCAATTTCCTATCTTGATTTGTCTTCTATTACTGTAAAAAAAATACATCAGACTAGGTAATTTATAAAGAAAATATTTATTTGGTTCAAGATTCTGAAGGCCAAGAGCTCCAAAATCAGGCAGCCATACCTGGTGAACTTCTTGTGAGGGCTTCATGCTATATCATATCATGGTCAACTATTTCTGACAAAGAACAAAGGAAATATTAATGTAATGGATCATAAATAGTCTTTTTAACAAATGATGTTACAATCTCTGGACAAAAGAGTTTGTTTAATTTGGGGTAGGAAGGGAAATGGAAGACATGAAGGGAAAAAAGTAGAAAATGGGCAATGGACATGAAAATGAAAACAATTTTTAAATATAGTTAATTAATCTCCATATTATTCATAATTAAATGAATTATTTTTAAAAAACAAAGAAAGCCCAATAGATAAGCCAAAGTAAAAAGTCTTAGTAATACACAACGTTTAGAAGAAATCCACTGCCTAATCACCTGTACTGGATGGTGTAAATTAGTGAAAATTACCTACGAGACAATTTTATTGAACAATATAGACCATGAGTATGTTCAGTTTTCTGAATAATGTTATCCCTCAAATCATCAAAGACTAGCTTCAATTTTCAGCTGAGTTTGGAAAGTGATCATTGCTTGTTATACAAGCAGTGGTGGACGGTATGAGTGGTGTATTACTTATAAATTTTATCACTTGGTCCTCTTTTCCTTTCTTTTTTCTTTCCTCCCTTTCAAATGCTTTCAATAATACACACACAGAGAGAGAGAACTATCTTTCCCAATTATTCAAAAGCAATTGGTGCTTCTAATTTCTAAACCCTAAATTGAGGGTACAATGCACATTGGGGTACTCCTTGTTATATTTTACTTCACTCAAGTTTTTTCTTTAACTGGTCTGTTATGCGAGTTTTGATTTTTCCATATAATTCTCATAACTCTATAATTTTGTTGACATCACTGCCTAATGTCTGGGCTTTATGGCTTTTTTGATTTCTTTACTGTTTCTTTTATAAGGTAAGGGAAAGCAGAGATAAATACGTGCTTAATCTTGCGTTGACATGGCAAAATTAACTCATTTGAAGACATGTTAGAAAGCCAACTGTTCTGCATGACTGTTGAGGAATTCTCATGATTTAGACATGAGTTATTTCTTAGGCTTTCCACCTATCCCTTTGTCTTTGAACATTAGCCTCTATCTACCATCTGGTTTTCCAATAATGACACTTTTCCTCTTTATGATAAATGTTATTTCCTCTCTTTGCATTGTTTTGTTACATGGAAAATTGTGTTTGTCTTCCTTTCTTCTCTTTCCTTCTTTCTTTATTAAGAATCCTGCTGCTAGAAGGCTATAGCTCTGCTATCATCTCTCATGTGTTACTCTGTGAAGAAGGCATCATATAGAAGCCACTTACTCTGGCATATTCAGCTATCTAAAAATTAATAAAACATATCTACTTATAATATCTTTCAATGTGACCTAGACCCGGATGTGGAGGCTAGATTTTTGTCTTTAAGGATGGCACAGAGATACTTCATTGTTGGGTGGTTAGACCTTGACATTGCTCTGGTCTGGGAGGAGGAAGCATTTGATGGATGATGTCCAATTCTATTTTCTTTTCACTAAGGAAGAGTTGAGTATTAGGATGCTTGTTCTTCTGCTGTGACCATCTGTATGGTTTTCGTATTAGCCAGACAAACAGCCATAGATCATGTTGAAACCTGAGTGGGTCACAGAGGCAGACACTCAGCAGCCAGGCCCTGTGCTGCTCAGAGTTTGTGTTCAGCTCCCCCTGTAGTTCTTGCCACTGTGTCCTGCAGAGCACAGTAGTACACAGCTGAATCTGACTCCTGGACTGAGGCTTTCTTCAGGTGGAAGGAGGTGGTTTCTTAATGATACCTTGCTTCAAAACCTCTGTTGATTCCTTTATCATCAGCCTTTGCAGCCTTCAGGAGGACCTGAGGACCTTCACCAGGATACTGAATGTACCAGTAAAGGGTAGGGTATCCTGAGGCTGTATAAGTGCAGTTTATTGTCAGGAAATCCCCTTTTGAGAGGATCACTTTACCTCCTCTCTGGGTCACTGAGTCTCCATGGGTTCTTCCTGGGGGAAAGAAAAGAAACCTGTGTCATTTTGGCCATACAACTCTTAAATAAAGTTATGGTTAAACATTTTGTTGACATGATAAGAGAAAGAGCCTGGATTTGAGGAGGCATTTTACTCACCAAGCAGTAAGAGCATCACAGTCACTAAGCCTGGAGAAGAGTTCATCTTTACAGTGTCACCTAAATAATGTTCTTGATTCTTAACAGGAAGGAATGTTGAAGTCACAATGTTAATGATAAATCTAAACTTACAATTCACACAGGAAATGAGTTTCTGTTAGCAAGCCACTCCCCCTGGTGGGCAGAGACTGAACAAGGATGAATGTTTTTATGGCTTCCTGCCACAGACCAGAAATAGGTTCTCAATTCTGACCTCATTTATAAGTTCTCACTTACACTTTTAAAATGATTTAAACCCAGCAAGAACATTTTGTGTTTGGGCTCACATGCCAGTCGCAGGTGGCCATCACAAATCTGAAGGACAGTTGTCATACGCTGTAATGTCTCTTTTGTTCTTAGGATACCACCTGACCTGGAATTTACCTAGCACAGCATCCCAGAGTATTTCTATAACTGAAGACAGGAATTTTCTTGAACACTTTAATATTGTTCACATAATACACATTTTTATGTATCTATTCTGGATCAGCCTACCCATTTAGATGTCAGGCAAGGATTTGGAGTAGAAATCTTGGCAAATAATAAGAAATCAAATCTTCATTGAGTGTGTTTTTCAGCACTGCACCCCAATATCCAGAACAGTGACTGTATATCAGTGACTTACTAGTGCTCAACAAATACTTGTCAAATAAAACAAAAAAAAAAGAATACAAAGTATTTTTTGTTATTTTCTCTGAATTCTTCAGAAAAAAAATTATATTAAGTTAATATAAAGGTACAAAACTTTAGATTACATTGTTTTCAATTCTAAGGTAAAATTCAACTTGTAGTTGACCTCTGCAACTCAGGGTCTTATGAGAAACCTCACATTGTGCATATTAGGTGAGATCCTGCCAGTTGCCCTCCCTCCTCCTTCTTTCCACTCCCTTCTCTCTCTCCTCTCCCTTGCTACACTATATTTGTGTCATATCTTTCATGTGAGCATGTAGTTGTTTATATATTGGTATTGAGTACATTAGATTTTTTTTTCCATTCTTGAGGTACTGTACTAAGAATAATATCTTTCAGCTCCAGCCAGGTAAACAGAAAGTCTTTGATTCAGGAATCACTACCACACATTAGACTATTTATTGCAACTCAGTTTACAATCCCCAAAATGTGGAAACAATCTAAACGCCCACCAACCCAGGAATGGATTAACAAGCTGTGGTATATATATACTGTGGAATACTATTTTAAAAAATGAAAACTTTACATCTTTCTATTAACCTGCATTGAACTGGAAAATATTTTTCTTAGTAAAGCATCACAAGTTCTTAGTAAAGCATCACAAGAATAGAGAAGTAAGAATCTAATGTACTAAATTCTAATATGAAGGCAGTAGATCTAATATAAGGTGAGCTGTAGAGGAATGAGAGAGTGAGGAGAGGAGAGGGAGAAGGATGGGGAGTCATGGTGTATGGCACACCTCTTGGGGGTGGGACACAATTATAAGAAGAACTTTACCTAACAAATGCAATCAGTGTAACCTAATTGTTTGTACCCACAATGAAGCCCAACCAATAAAAAAAAAGAATCACTACCACTTGAAAGACAATATTTCCCCAATTCTAAAGTAATAATAATTCTAAGGAATGATATCTTTTTAATAGAAGTTTTTCAGGGGACAAAGTCACACTAGCTTATCGATAATTAAATACTCCTGCATTTCAGAACTATGAAAAAGTGAAAAATAGGAATCCTAAACAGAAGAAACAGCATAATTAAAGTTATCGAATCCCTGTAGAAGGATCTGAGTTCAATATCTTATTCCTCATGATTTCAATGACTCTAAGGTAAGGAGATTAGAATATGCTAGTCAGGCAACAAATACTAATCCCATACCGTAAAAGATAATCTGCTAGACTTGAGTAAGCCAAAATCTTGTTGCCAGATGTCAACCAAATAATTTTCCCCCACAGTGTAGGAATCCAAATGTGGATTTGCATCAAAAGACCTGAGCACTACTTAACTCTCTTCATCCCTGGATTTTCAAATTGATAAAGACACATCTGGAAATAGTAGAAGTTTTCAAAATTGGCTTTTTGAAAATAGAATAAACTTGGGAGTGATTCGAACTTACAGATGCTGGGATTCCATCACTAACTTTAGAAATCATAATTTCTAGGATTGATAATTAAAACAATAAGTAGTCTATAAATATTTATTGAATAAATTGATCTAAAATTCCAGCAAATTACAAAAGTTTTTACTGATATTTCATATTTTTCTGGAATTCCATAACCAATTATTCTAGTTCACTCTAATAACCAAAAGGCAAATTGTTTATTATGGCTGTTCTTTCTTATCTATCTTCAGTCAAAAGTTCTGTCTGACATCAAGCCAAAGATCCAGAGATAAGAATGTTTTTGATGAATGATAATTCTGGGCATGCTCTATGAATGTTCAGAAATATTTCCTTAGGATTATGTTTCCCTCAAACCCTGCACCTATGTCGCCACAGGCCTAGCCACTTCCTGTCTGTGATGGAGACTCCTTTCTTTGGTCCTGACAGCAGGTGGATGTTGCAAGCCAACACCTGGGGTTTTTGTGCACCTTCGTCCAACAGTTCTCTCACTGTGAGTTCTATCAGTGCACAGAAATAGGTCGCTGAGTCCTTCAGTTGTGCAGCTGAGATGACAAGGTTGATGGATTTGCTGGCCTTCTGGAAATTCAGTGAGTAGCGACCATCTGTTTCATTTTTCTGGCTATAGGAATCCTGGCGAATAATGAGAATCATCTCCCCACTGCTGGGCTGCCTGTACCAGTAAAGACTATATCTACTATCACTGGTGTCATATGTGCATCCCAGAGTTACAGGCTCCTTTTCCTGCACCAGTGTCGCTGGTTGAGCTTGAGTTACCTTCTGGGCAATACCAGATCCTGAAGGAAAAAAAGATGAAATTGGAAGGTTTAAGGATAAGTGATATGGAACAAAGAAATTCTATTTTCATATCCTGTTATCCCTCCTTCCCAGCATCTCAGTAAGTCATCCTGTAACCCTGGTCCTCACTTCATGAAAGGAGCATATTCCCACTGGCCATCCCTACCTAGCCACGTCAAAGCTGTGACCACCTTCAGCAGGCTGAAAAGCAACATGTCTGTTTCTTCCTCTAGAGGGAAAATCCCTTCTTCAATGGTTCCAGGGTTCTGCACTGTGAGTTGAGGCTGTCAGAGAGAAAGAAGAGTCACTGGGCTGTGTGCTGCTGCTGCTGCTGCTTCCCTCAAGCAGGAAACAGAGGTTTCCTGGAGCAGCCAGTTGGGTGTGTCATGTAAAATAGCTCTGTGGACTGACTGAGAATCTCACCTAAAGCAAGCTTCCTTTTGGATTAATCAACAGTTACTATGATAACAATTAAATCTGAAAAAAATATGAAAATTTTAAAGGAAATAATTTGGCCAACTACTATGTTCAGTCATTGAATATTTTTGTTGCTTCTGGTTTTTTATTTCAATAAACTTAGGACAGGTTTTTATTGTTGCTGCTCTTGCATGGATAAATTGTATAATGAATGCTAAAGTCAGGGTTTTTAATGGATCTGTCAGAAGAATAGTGTTCACCATACTCCATAAGTGATTTTTATTACTCCCCCAACCTCCCATCTTGTAAGTTGTCAATGCCCATTGCACAATTTTATGGTCACATATACCCCTCATTTAGTTCTCACTTATAAGATTTGCTGGCCTTCTGGAAATTCAGTGAGTAGCGACCATCTGTTTCATTTTTCAATTCCTGACATACTTCACTTAGAATAATGGCATCCAGGGTGGCTCCTGTGGCTCAAAGGAGTAGGGCACTGGCCCCATATGCCAGAGGTGGCAGGTTCAAACCCAGCACCAGCCAAAAAAAGAGAAAAGAATAATGGCATCTAATTTTTTCCAAGTTGCTGCAAAAGACATTATTTCATTCCTTTTTATGACTGACTAGTACTCAATGATATATACATACATTTTCTTTATGCATTCATCAGTTGATGAGCACTTAGGTTGAGTCCACATCTTTACAACTGTGAGTTGTGCTGCCATAAATATTCAGGTATAAGTGTATTTTTCATAAAAGGACTTTCTTCCTTTGGGAAGATACTGTGTAGTGGAATTGCTGATTCAAATGTTCTACTTTTACTTCTTTGAAAAATCTCCATGCTGTTTTTCATAGAAGTGTTCTAGTTTACATTCCTGCAACAGTTGACCATTTATCTTCTGGAAAAATATCTGTTCATGTATTTTGCCTCATGTTGCAGGGTTATTGGCTTTTTTCTTACTGCTTTGTTTGAGTTCTTTGAAGATTCTAGATATTAGCCCTTTGTTAGATGTGTAGTTTGTGACTATTTTCTCCCATTCTGGAGGTTGTCAATTTACCCTGGTAATTATTTCCTCTGATATGCAGGTATTTTTCATTTTTATGAAGTCCCACTTATTTCCTTTTTGTGGTTCTGTATTTGCTTTGGGGATTTTAGATATAAATTCTTTGCATAGGCCAACATTTACAAAAGTTTTTTTCTATTTTTGTATAGAATTATTACAGTGTTATGCATTATATGTTAAGTCTTTTAAGCCATCTTGAGTTAATTTTTACATATGGTAAAAGATAAAAGATCACGATATATAAGATATATTGTCAAACTAACTCCACTCTGAGCACAATATCATTGAATTAGGAAGTAAACTGCAAATCCCAGCTTCTTTTTGAGAGGTAATGAGCTTATACTACATGTACAGTGCCCAAACTGTATACTCCATGAAAGAGAGCTTGGCCTTTAAATGGTCATTTTTGAGGCTCCCAACTTTTACAGCCATCATCCAAACTACTGATTTATATACCATCCACTCCAGGAGTGTACAGAGTTCTGCACTCATGAGTCTCTTAGACCACAATAATAAAAATGTAACTTAAACTTGAAAATATTCTGAAGGCTATGTTAACCAGTTTGATGGAAGTATTTCGGATTGTGTGTGAAAACCCCACACTGTACCCCAGAAGTGCATTAATGTACATAGTTACCATTCAATAAAAAAAA